GAGTTTGCCCAATTCGACGAAAGACCGCATTCTTCGTCTCTCCTTGGATGTCCTGCACCGCCGTTGAGACAGCTGAAGTGGTCTCATTGATATTTACTTACCTCGCCACCCTGCGGACCAAAGAGAACCTTCCTGTTCTCCGATTTTTCGCATTCAGTCAAGAGTGCGAAGACCCAGTACCAGCCGTTGGCATGCCAGGGTATCGGGGGTATCTTCGTGGCCTTAAGCTCGGCTGATTGACCCTTATATCTCTTAGGCGGCATGTACGTATCCCGAGAGATGTGTCGGCAGCCAGGGGCTTCAAATAGATGCAGCGAGAGTGCACAAACGGTGGGCGGCGGGCAGAAGGCGAGATAGATCAACGGCGCGCGCGGCGCGTCACCGGAGCTAGATCACGTGTCTCGCCGGGAGTGCGAGCTACAGCTACAAGCTACAGAACCGGTAGCTTAAAACTGAACGGACCTATAGAACAAAGACGCTGTTCGCATTAGCAAGCGACAAGTCATTACAGGGGTCATAAGGGGATCGACATCCATACACTACGCAAAGCCTCCGATACAGAACAGCATATACGCAGTCTGAGAGTACACCTGTGCTCATCATCGTTTCGTTGGTCGTTTCTTCACCTCGTCGTCTTTGCAGGCATGCAGGAGAATCTTGTTGGGGTGTCCCGCCGTCATACCGGAGTACCCCTTTGACCAGTCGTAAGATACGGCATATGCAAATATGGAACCGGTGCGATTGAACGCGGAGGCGACGACGGGCCCCGGGCAGGGGTCGAAAGCTGACATGATGTGCGATCAGCTTGCGAGGAAAGACAAGGAAGAGGATGACATACTCTTCAGCCTTGTCCGTGCATCTTTGTCCCAGAAGTGGACAGTGCCGTCAGAGCCTATAACGAGTTAGGTGAGCTTAAATTGGGTAATGACAAGCAAAACGCACCGCATGTCGAGAATGTTCCATGAACGGGATGGAAGGTGATGTCGTTGACGGCGTATACAAGAGATTGATCTTTCGTGTTCGGAGTGGCATCCTTTCGATGGCACTTGAAGGAAAAGTTGTTTCTAGGGGGGATCGTGATTAGTGAAGCATGATTGAAGAAGACTGCCGGCTTACGACGCATCCTTGTCATCCACATATCTGTCCAACTTGTTGAGTATCATTCGTACAACTGGCAGGAAACATACTGAATCGCAACACGACCCTCCACACTACCGACCGCGAAGCCGTTTGCAGCCGGGAAACATGAGACCACTCTTGTTTGCCACTTCAACGGAGATTGCATAGTCTGGCTCCGCGTTTCAGCAAGGGTCAGGGCAGTGTAAAGAACCTTCCTCACTTTGTATGCGGTTGTAGGGTTTGTTAAGTTGAAAATCTGGATATGCCTGTCGGCGCATCCAACAACCATCAAAGGGTAGGCGACATCCATGGTATAGCAGCGTTCTGGAAGCGTGACTGAAGCAATGGGCGCCGACTGCCGCAGGTCCCAATACTGATCCAAGGATTAAGCATAGAGGTTCGGGGACTTCGCCGAGGGAATGTACCTTGACAGTTTTATCCCAGCTTCCAGTCGCGAGTATCCCTCCCTGAGGCGACTCAATCCACTTCACAACCTTGATAGGCGCGTCATGCTGGGCTACTTGAGTCGGCTGGCCAGTCTGAACGTCGAACATACGCCCCGCGTTGTCCGCGCCACCGGACAGCAATTTCGTCCCGTCCTGGATGCTATGTCATAAAGGTATGGTAAGAAGGATCGAGTATGCGGTTCACCTTGTTCCAGCATACACTGAGAACAGGTGCTTGGTGGGAGTACATCGCTTTCCCCTGCGTTTGGCCATTTGTTCCAACTTCGTATATCCGTACCTTGTCATCATCGTCAGCGCGCGCCTTTTTGATAGATAGTCTTTGTTCATACATTGTTATCCCAGCTTCCAACCGCAAGGAATTCTCCTGCCCCCGAAAACGCGAGCGAGGAGATGGAATCGGTGGGAGGGTCTGCAACCTCGATGTCCGGTGGATCTTTCTGTGCTGTGGTCGTGGCGGATGACCCGGCTCCGAAGAAAGACATTTATGGCAGTATATCAAAGTTACGTGATCAAAGCCAAGGGCTGCAGCAGAAGGATATCTATGTCCCGGAACGAGCTACAAAAGCCTACACAGGCAGGGATGGGCCGCGAAACACGATGCAGGCGGTTCAATGAGAAATCACGTGACTCGATCGTGGGCGCGGACGTCACGAACGTAGCGCCCATCCACTTTGCATCGGGACGGACGATCCTGAGGTACTCGGTCAGTAAACGAAATATCCGGATACTCCCGCGCCACAGTGCTCGCTTGCGACGAGGCCGAAGGGATGGACACGCATGCAAGCGAGATGTCACGTCCAGTTAGGTTTTATCTTCAAAGGTTCGCGCAAAGGAGATGAGCAATTTTGGTGCTTTGACTTGGCATTGAAGCAACCGTGCACAACAAAAGTGGATAAAGTCGATTGTCTGTGCAGTCCAACTTCTGGTCATAGGTAAACGCAGAAATCCCAGGTGACGGATTACAGACTCGGAGACAGCAATCGCAACACAGGTCACGACGCGAAATTACTGGTGAAACGCCATACTTCTTCGTGCCCCGCGACAACGTCATACAACAAGCTCTCTGGCATGAACCGACTAGCAAGACGACAAACCGCTCAGTCCTGAGCCGCAAGCATTGGTGTACGTGTTGGCTGCAGTGCCAGTAATACTGATACCCGAGAACTAAAGACGCTACGGGTCAATAAAAGCTCTTCTATAATTATCGCGTATACATTACCTTGATATCCTTGCAGGGGGTCGCACTGTTGCAATGAAGCTTGACGGCAGGACGAGTCGATGTTCCGGTTCCCTGGGGTTGGCTCCGATTAGACCAGAATTCATGGCGCAGTACGAATCAGTCTTACTGTGAATCCGCTGAACGAGACGTCGGTGATAGACAGTTTGCCGGTGTCCTCGCCATTGCCCATCCTGTCAAAATGTGTCAGTATGGGACCTTTGGGGTCGATACGAGGTTAGATACCAGAAGGCATCAATATCGATCGGATATGCAACGGTAGTCTATCACCGTATATCTCAGTATGAACTGATATAAAAAGGACGAGTGAGCAACAAACCAAGGTGAATCCGGTGTAGGTGATGTTCTTGACCGTTCCAACGTTGTCCGGATACGACTTGATCATAACTGGAGATGCCGAGATGGTCAGCCTCGGTAGATCACGTAGCTTTGAGGGCTCACTGACCTCCGGCATCTGAGTTACTGAGGGTAACGTCCGAGTAGTACACATTCTGCACGTCGACGGCGGTGTTGTCATCGCCAAATGAGCCGATATTACATCCTATACGTGTCGTAAGTTTTCGCCGTGACAAACAAGGAAGCAAGCATATTACCGGCAGTCCATTTGCAAGTGATGCGTTCGGCGACGAAACCCTATCAGAAGTTCATTAGGTATGAAAAGGTCTTCTTTGGGTACTTTGCGCACGTTTGTAGGCGTCTTCACAGTAACACCTGAGATGATGAAGTGAACAATCAACATTATAATTTTGCGTAAGTAGTCTACAACCCACATTCGTCTCCGTTCTCGACGCTGACGTCGTGAACATAGTTGTTGTTGCCGGACATATCAAAGCCATCGGTTTCGCCTGCAAGGCGATGAACGATTGTATCACCGAGGGTTCAGCTTCGACATGCGTACCAATATGCGTTGCGTGAATGCTCATATCGTGTACCTCGTTGTTATTGCCGATGACTGTTACGTGGAACATAGGTGCATCGTATAGCGTGACCTGGGTGATCTCGCAGCTACAACAACTTAGATATATATCCTTTCGCAAAAAGGGTAAGCAAATCGCTTACTTGTTACAGTTTTGGAAGCGGATGAGGCGAGGGCGGTTCGGGTACAAGCTAAGCTGAAACCTAGTCAGGACTCTTGACCAGCACTATCATGTCATACGGCTTACGTTACCACCAGGACGATAGCGATAGCCGCTGTAAACAGTGTGATAAGCTAGGGGAGTCGGAACAAGAAGGGACCTAAGCCGACTGACTTTCCGTAGATAGCACCAGGTCCATTGAGAACGATGTTATCGCAGTTCTGTAGAGGGGTCTACATCAGTACAAGTCTTGACCAGGTAACGAAATCATAAGCATACCTCGAACTCAATCATAGTACCAGACAGGGAGGAATCAAATGGCAGGTAAATATTGCCGGTGATGTGGAGGTTGAAGCTTAGTGGTACCGTCAATATCATATTCACGTGCAACACAACGAACGCACTTGACGGCATCGTCAAAGAGCACATTAGACTTTAGCAAGTAGTTTCCGGATGGGACGTAGAGCAGCGTGTCCGTCGCGGTGCTCGTTGCCTTAGGGATGACACAGTTCTTCCAGGCACTCAGCAGAGCTGGTCCGAGATCCGTGCTGTTGTCTGCCACTCCGCCATAATCTGCGTGGTCAAGGTTAGTCCAAGGTCATGTAATAACGGGAGTCACACCGACCGAGTACGCTGCACTCAATGAAAGCCAGCGACTCTTGGGCGAACAGCAGGAAGAACGCGAGCGCGAGGACTAAAGAGAGGAGCTGCATGCTGGCTTGCTACGTCAACGTAGGTCAATCCTCGCGGCATTATAAGGACCAAGGCCGCCGACGGGTTTAGCTGCTTCCCAAAGATCTCATCGTTTGCACATGGTGACAACTAGACAACCGGAAGTAATGAGAAGAACAGCTCAGGGCGAGAAGCCAGGTGACGGGCCGACGATGGACGAGTGACCTCTGCCATACGACCTATCCAGGCCTTGAAATCATCGGAGTCTCTGATACTTTCCTTTTTGCAATGGAAAGAATAGATCTTGTGATCTCAGGGACTTAATTCCGCCGGAGGTATCTGAAGTCGGTCGCCGCCCGGCACTGGAGTTGCGGGAGACAAGAGTAGGACATCGGGATCTTTCTTGAGATGACGCAGACGACACGCCTAATCTTGCGCATCGAATAGTTCGGGTCTGTTTCGGAAGATATCTTGCAGGTTTCGGCGGAGCCGACGGTCCGTTTCCGCACCGAATCACTGCAACGTGGACGAAACCATGGCAGTGGGAGAAGTCCGATCGAACGGAGGCCCATCTTGAATATGTACACTGGATCCCTGCGCGCGGAAGTATCCTCGAGGTCCGAGGACTTCACGCAGGCGAAACACAGGCAGATGTGCGGATAACGTTGGGTTCCTTGGTGCGTTCTAAATTCGCATTCATCTGCAGGTTGAACATCGTGTCAGTGGGGTACTAGTATGCTTCGACGTCCGCGGCGCTGGCATGACCAAGTCACTGGGTGATGACGGCGTTCCGAAGCTATCGCAAACCCGTGTCGTATGGTAAGGCTGCACGGTGAGAAGCCCTGACAGAAGCTTTGCGTGGTACCGATATGACAATACTATCAGAACAGTCCGGGCAATGGCGCTTGATCCGGCCCGCGCGCAGACGTCGATCTCATTCGCCAGCTTTGTGCGGACAGCGACGAACGGTGAGTACGTATCAAGTGTGTATCATGAAGTCCTGCTGGAGCAGTTGGTCGCTAACCTATGACCCCGACATCGCGACACTTTGATCCCAGTTTCTCCCGTCGGAACGAAAATATCGCAAGTTGAGGGATAAAGTTCAAAAAGGAGTATCATGTGCGCCCGTAGTGGACCAGCCTGATCATGAAGGGTTGTCGCGAAAGTCGATCTTGGCTCATACGGCGTGCGAAAACAAAAAGGGCAATCGCGACCGAATCGATTGCTCGGTAGAAAAGCTCGCAAAACGACAAACCTGGGGATCGAACCCAGAATCTCCGGCTACGGACTGAAATTATCCGGAAACCGACGCCTTGACCATTAGGCCAGTCTGCCTATAGCGAACCGGACCCAGAGTACATACACAGCCATTCACACGCCAGAGAAACCAACAAAAAATCCAGAACACCATCTTATTACATGCATATGTACATAACAGCTCGCATGCTCTACATCTGTGACCCTAGTAGGCCTGACGAGAACAAGATTATCACCATGTATCGTACATCGTCCAGTCATCGACCATCCTCTCATCCACGGCGAGTACCTCTTGTCGGTCGGCGTATAGTGCCACCACAATTTCGCGTTCCTTCCACCTCTTCACCTTCGCTTGCGCGGTCGTGCGAATTTCCAGGACAGACTGAGAGCCCAGACCATCTCTCGTGTCACCCTCACCGCCCGAATCCGGGATCGGTGTCAAGGTGTAGGTGATCGAGAGCGCTGAGAGTGCGCCGCCGTAGGCATGCGAAATACCTGGGGGCGGCGTCAATTTCGTTGGGATCGGTGTCATAGAGAGAGGCGTCGGACGTACCGGTATCAATGATTATAATCTTCCCATTGCACCTGGAAACGATTTTCTGTCACATTACCTCGTCAGTTGGAAGCAAAGTATCCTGAGAAGTGTTCCACCTCAAAGTTCGGGGTATGCCCCATGAGCATCCTCCTCGTTCCCGTCTTCTCCAGAACGTCATCTACAGCCGCACAGACCGTCTCCTCAGGGTCCATCGCCCAACCTCGATACCACAGAGGTCCGTCCGAGCCATACAACCTGTGCTCCTCCGTCGTCGCTCCGGCGGGCAGTCCAGGATATGGGTGCGGCGGGTGGGGAGGCGGGATGGAACTCTGACGCTGCAGCTTATGGAGGAGAGACGATGCAATGGTATTGATGCGCGAGGGAAACGGTGTAAGGTCCGGGTAGGCGGGGGCCAGGCCGCCATGAACAAAGGAGAGAGCAGCGTGAGACAGTGGATGCTCGGAGAGGAGGGGGGAAGAGGGAGGTGGAGGGTAGTCGGTGTTGGGCGGGCCAAGGGAGGGGTGTAAAGGGAGGCGAGAGGCGGTGGTGTAGTTCGCCGCCCAGGATTTACCGATCCGTCCAGTTGCGAGCATCTTCTGCCGCGCTTGCCAAGACCCGAAGGTAGCTATTTCACTTGGGTATACGTATCTGTAGCGCAGGTAAGGGCTCCGCGCGTTCATGAAAGAGCTTGTGCATTCACCGCCAGTCACCTGAGTGTATATGCATCTTATTAGAGATGTTTCGAGGCCGGTGAGTGCAAGACAACGTACTCATAAGGTTCATGTATTCGTGATTTCCCAGCATGGAGAGCACCTCGCCTCCCGCTGCACGGGCCTGATCCCGCAGGCGGTCCATCCAAAAGTATAGTTTAATGGTATCGTCACCCCTTTGAGCACGCTTTTCAGATAGCGAAGCCAGAAGAATTGTTCAGTAAGCTCACCTGTCGATTATATCTCCCGTTTGGACAAAGAAATCAATGTCTCCGCTCCAATTTCCATGCTGATCGACAACGCCGGCCATGTTGAGCACTTTCTGCGCGTTTCCGATGTCACCTGGTAATCCAAGTTTACTTGAGGCGCGTGCAATCACTTCGTGTCAAACTTACCATGCAGATCTCCCACTGCAACAATTCGACGCGTGAACGTGGCAGGTGCATCGTGAATGTCAGCTCCAGGAGAGCCTGTTTTGTGCCCCAGGTTCAAAAGAGCCTCAAGAACGTGAAAGCCGGCATGTGCGATGAAAACCTGTCCGTAGAGAAAGTACAGTGCGGCAGCCAGCGGGATCACAAGCAGGGCGAACCGCGGCCTCAGGAACGACATGGTTGTTGCCAACCACCGCTGTAAGTAAGTACAGCCGTTTGAGCAATATGTCCTAATGAGAGCGCTGAGCGATGAGCGATGACCGTCCTGAACGTGAAAGGAGACGTTGACCAGACTCTGTCGTGCACGGTGCAGCGTTGCACTTGCCGCCAGCGTGCCCTCGGGATTTGCGGCACCGCCACACGGACAAAGCCGACGGATCCATTCCAATCCCGCGCTATGTCCTTGGCATTCACCACGTCCACGAACATGTAAAGTTCTGGCTTTGCCTGCCCCAATCGTTTCTGAGATCCTAACAGACTACAGAATCAAATTCAACAAGGCGTGAGTGCAATCGCTCGCGATCACCAATCGTTGAAGCATCGGAATTTGCAACGAGTACCTTATTGACTTGGTTCGCCTCAATTCGAGGCGTTCCTGGCTGACCGCGTCCGAGGCGTATATTCTTGGATAGGAGCAGCCAGCATCTATCCACATTGTGGGCCCTCACATAGATCCGGATCGCGGCAGAAGATTCGTGGATGCTATGATGAGCAGCAACGAACCTGAGGTTCCGTACTTCCTTCAAATCAATTTCAATGGCAGCCGCAGCCCGCCGCGTCGGTCAAGCGAAGGTCCAGCAGAAAGCTGAGCTAGATAGTACAGCATGCCACGGGACATTTGCCCACTGCCTATCCGAATTTCGTGGGAGTCCCTCCTGTTCACCTCGTCCTCACTCGTACCACTCAAAGATACACCCTCTTAGTAGCCACTCGGAGATGAAGCCAGAAGGCTCTCCGAGTCATCCACATATACACGTTCGTCGTGGTTGTTGGATGCTCTGCCGAGGGCATGTGGTGCCTCACTTCAAACATCAAACCCGACGGCAGAAGCCATCCAACCGAGGATTGACTACGTACAGGCCAATGGCGTCCCGGGGATCCTTCTGCCTGACCTGCGCGTAGTCTTTATCAGATCGACGGGGTGCTGGCCTATTCGTCTTCCGTCGTCGTGATCGCCAGCGAAAATGTTGATGGGTTTCGGATCACGGTCACCTGTGCTCGTAAATTCGTTGTTCGCGACGGAGTCCAGGCGTGTTTGCAGCATCTGATCTGACGACAACGTAAAAAACTTTGTGGGATGCGCGGTCGCCACTTTGCTCATCGTGACGCTCGTTGACGCTCGTTGACGTGTGCCGGAACCCGGTGGTCTAACATTCGGTCAAGTGCACCTCACTCGTGCTCACCGACAACTCGGATGGTCATTATGGGACCGCGGCTCGGCATCACGATGTAACGCGACGGCCACTCTGTTTGGGCTCATATGGCGTGCGCATCCGTCTGGGTTCTGGCGGAAGTTCTCAATTCATCGCAAACCGCGGCAAACCACCGCAACCCTCATTGACCCCGAGGCGAGATGGAAATGTTTCGAAACTAATTTGGGGTGCCCTCTTGCGTGTGGGCACCAAGGAAGATTAGGATGCTCGCTACCTCTTGAGCTGATAGTAAGCCGAGACAACCGCACACTGGGATTTTCCTGGCCAAGACAGCATGCGCGCGAGTTCGATGATTGGTATATGTAAATATAATAAGCAGTGCATTCAGTCATATTCGGAGGCTGCTGCTCTAGTCTCTCGTTTACTCAGGATATGCTCCGCTCCGTATGTTCGGAGCGGTACCCCAGTTACCAGTAAGTGCCTCGGGAGTGCCTTGCACGTGCTCTGGTTCCGTGCTGGCACGGTCCATTCAACGACGGCCAACACGGCGCTTCCGTTCCGTTTTACCACGTTGAGCTTAAAGGCTCCCGATGCTTTTCCTGCTTTTCCGGCGTTTTCGCTCGTCATGTGGCATCACAATGGCAACATCTGACTCTCGAAACGGGTAGTGCGCGAATCACAGCCGTTACACGCGTGCATGTGGGGGTAAGATGGAAGAGACATCACGCCAAACCCCCACTCGTCGGTGTGGATCTGGTTCAATGAGGTGCTCAGCTACGGCGGACCATGATGCGTCGGGCGATTCACCGCTTGAGAGATGTCACGCTAAGCCGCGTATACTTGCCGTGATGATCACGTGATATGGGGTATATGTAGCAAAGGCTAGATCGAATTGCCGTACTGGCTCGTAAGCTCCGATCGCCACATTTTGACTCGAGGATGCATTCCCTCGTCGCTGGTTACCCTCAGGAATTGCTCTCTACGATCTGCGCTCGAGTGTATTGGGCCGGGTTCCCCCCTCTGATATCTTCCCTCGATCCTCTCCTAGGCGACGGACATGACGCACCAACCCACCTACCCAGCTCGTTTCCTCAGGCCGCATGGTCAGAAAGCATATCTCGCAAAACACTTGCGTTCCTCTGCTCTGTCAGCCGCGCCTGGTACGCTGCCGCCAAGCCCTGGCTATGGCACCGGGTCGAAGTACGGCTACCCTATACCTGGCTCGCCCTCCTGGACGTTATCGCGACGGAGGACTGGGAGGATCTAACAGCTGAAGGTGCTGCTCTGGTCGTCGGACCTTTCATCCGGGAGATTACACACGCTGCCTTGGCAGCGAAGCCCACGGCGTCTTCATCAAAGGAGGAGGCCGAGATGCTGGAGCGCAGGATATTCGCCAGCCTCAGCTTGCCGGACATATCTATACCCCCCGAACTCTTGTCCCCACCGGCCTCTCGAGACCCTAGTCCCCGTAGACTACGGAGACAAAGCAAAAGCCCAACGCGATGGAGGTTTATGCGTTCTCTAAGCGATGCCGTGATGACCGTCATTCAGCGCGAGCAGCCCGAAGTATACGGTCCGTCCCTGATGGAATTTGACTCGCGGTTTACTAAATCTCGACTTTAGTACCGTCGTTTCAGGATGTCCATCCCGGTCGACACGTCTTCCATCTTAACTTTAATCATTTCCGCACAGTCGGTATGCGACGATCCGTTGACGAGGGCATACATCGTCGTTTCGTCACAGATGTCCGTCTCGAGGCTGTCTTGAAGGCGAGCAGGGTCCTATCCTTTTCTGACGTTGACCTGAACTATGGTCTCATTGCAGGAGATGCCCAACCTGCGGGTTTTTGGAGCCACCGAGTATATGGATGGCGCGCTCACGTTCCCAGTACTGGAGGAGCTTTTCATGAGGGGCCCGACGGAGTCGGATGCTTCTGCACGCGGGCGGTCCCGTATTGCCGTACCGCACACTACACCCGAGGATGAGGATCGCGATCGATGGGCGCAATGCAGCGCATTAGAGGCAGTCGACTTGACAGGTTGCGTCAGTTCCGTCTTCGTCGCCGCCCTCACGGAGTTCGTGAACCTCCATCTCAGGAACACCGAGCAGCGGCGACTGTCGAATTCACCATTTACCGCGGGAGGCGCCGAACGAGCGTCGCCGGGGCGGGAGAACAGGCCCTTAGTGACGCTGCGCGGGATTAAGCGGTTGGGCATGCGCGGGACGAAGTCCATCCCCGCGGACGTCTTCAGCACGTTCGTACTGTCAATGCCACATCTGACGCACCTAGATTTGTCATGCACGCGGATCACCCCTGACCTCCTTTCGTTGCTGGCTAAGTCTTCCACCGTTCATCTGCACACGCTCTCGCTGGAACGGTGCACTCGCCTCACCGGTGAGAGCATACGCTCTTTCCTCGTCTCCGCTCCCGCGGCGCGTCATATCCGCGAGTTGAACCTCTACGGCGACGGCACATTTCCTTCGCCTCTGTCTGCTGAGGACGTGCGGGAGATCTTCGAAACCGCACCGTGCTTCACGTCCCGTTCCCTCGTGTACTTGGATGTGTCGAGCGCCCCGCTCGATGCAGAACTGCTCACGAAGGTCTTGCCACCGCAGCCCTTCCTGCGGTCGCTTGGTCTGGCGCACATTCCGAATCTGGAGCTCGTCCACATCCGCAAGTTCCTCGAGGAGAAGGCCGCCGATACTGAGGTGCTGACCCTGGTCGGCACCTCGCCTGAACTTGGCTACGGGCGGGAACGCGTTTCCGTCAGGCAAGCCTCGCTCTCGCTTCATACGGGCCTCATCACGCCCCTCTGCCGACCGCCATTTTCGTTGTCTGCGAACCTGCCGCAGCCGCCCACGCGTCTGCGCGTGGTGGAGCTGTCGATTCCGCTTCTGAGCGGGCTAGGTGGTGGCGCGGGGTCTTGGAGGGTTATTCGAAGCAAGGGTGGCAGGGGTTGGTACGTAGACACCGGGAGCGGATGGATCGGTGCTGCTTCGGGCGAGGACGGGCAGGGGTCAGGCGACAAGCCGATGCTGGCTAGAGATCTGCCTGTGGGTCATCCGTGGAGTGAGTCGCGAGACTTTCGACGTTTTGATGCGGAGCGCTGACGCTCGACGGTGCGTCATCCTTGCAGGGGTCGAACTCGAAAATCTGGCGAACGCGAACGGGAACGTGAGTAGTGGCGTGGGTTGGCATGCGAGGAAGATGGAAGTGAGTGACACTGACTGTCGGTGGTGGTCGGTTTCATCCGCTGATGAAATATCGAATTAGGTGTTGCACGGACATGGCATGCTAGGTCGTGAAGACGGACTCTACGGCGCCGTTGCGTTTGCATACCAAGGGTAAAAATTCCGAGGAAACCATGGTTTCACATCATTGTATTGCAACGTGCGAACGGTGCTCTGGATGCAAGGCATCGCCGCCGGTTCGTGCCATTAATTAAGCAACGTTTCTCGACGATATGTGTGTGCTGCTGCTATTTTACCTATGAATAATATTCCGCTGTCTCGGGTCGCTTGCACTGTTGTAGTCTGATCCAGGGGACCGCTCTCGATAGCACCGCGATTAGCCTGAACGGCAAAGCTGTCGAGAGCCGTTGGACTCTCTTGTAGGCCGCCATCCCATGCTTCGAGCTTCCAAGGTTCTTGAGTGGTCGGAAGTGCGGCTTTATCCGGATGGCTGTAGAGAGGCGCGGAATCCACGTTGGCAGACAACGCTGATGCTCAGCAAGATATTTGGTGCCATCGTGCACCGGTATTAAATACTCGAGGTTGTGCGATGTCAGATCTTGCCCAGATCGCGAGCTCGCACATCGCTGCGGATGCGCCCGCCGAGAGAGGTATATCCGACGCGTAAATACGCATGATGGCGAAGCCAGTGAATGGATAGCTTTTGTATGGCCGCTCGCTAGCGCGCTTGTGCATGCCGAATCCGTGTTGGCTGCCGACAGTTGAAAAGGGTTAACCTGCCAGAGGACACCTGTAAGATCGGGTGTCCTTCCTCCCTCCTTCCACCACCAACGACGGCCAAGTTGTTCCACCATTGAACGATTTCACCGCCCCAGAAACTGCTCTACCATCAGTTGCATCACAGGCACGTGATTGGGTCCACTGCCAAGCCAAACCCCTCTGGAGTCTGTGCGTGTAGCAAGCGGTGTCCTTCCCCCTGGCCTCTCCTGGCCCCCTTCATTCCGCAGCATACCTTTTTGTTACGTCTCTCGGTGGCCCGGCACTTAACCCTGTGCGTCAACCATGCATACTACAGCCACGAGCTGACCTCTCTCAACCGCCCACGTTGTTGACACGCTTCACAGGCCTTCGAACGACTGGTTGCTAGTTATATACAGCTTGAGCGCCTATCGTCGAGGACGATCTGATACTTCTCGATGACCATGAGTATGCCCTCTTTTGTCCAATGTGAAACGCAATTGAACGTCCTCATGTGCAGGTTCGCCAGAGTCAATACCAGACACCAGTACCGCGGAGGTTAGCGAAGTCGTAGCTCTGTTCGGTCCTCCATGCTGATGCCTATGCTAGCATTCCGCAGAAACCCAAACGCAAGCGCAACGTCGAACCACGTTCGACCACCCCGCTAGTCCAGACACCGATTCCGCTGTTGCACGCCGCCGAGGCGCAAAACGTGATACTACCGAAACTGTCCGCTCCAACGGAGCCGCGGACGGGATTCCGGAGCAAAGCCGGAACAAGGGTCCCTTGTTAACCAGGATCGCGACGGCGGTGTCGTTAGCGGCGAAACCTGAGAGGCCGGTAGGGGAGGCGCCAGGTTTCTGGCAAGGGCTCAGAGCCGTCGTGTTCGCTTCTTGTGAGTTTTCTTTCCGTCTTCGGCTTCGGTGATGTTGCATTTACGATGGAGGATGCATCGGCAGGGTTAAATTTACTCCTCGTATTTATACCGATATCAGTGCGTTGTCCCGTTCCGTTCTTCGCATATCATCCTCATGCCCCCCTCTTCGCTAGTGGGCGTACGTTTGGCATGACACGCATATATCGAAGGCATTGACCTCATACCTCTGCCACGTCGTTCTTCAGATTCAACTTCGCGAAACCAGACTCACATACCCTAATCTTCGTCTGTGAGTGGTAGTGGGCGACATAATCATCGCGCGGCTCACTCCCGTACATCAGTTTCGTTCCTTGCCATTATACCCCTTGCGAAGGTTCGCCCGGATATGCTCGCTCAATTCAAACGGAACTCTTGACACGTGAATCCAGCTCTTGGCTTTCGCAACAGACGAGATGTCTATGCGCTTCGGTCAAACGATCGCCGGTCTAATGAACGCTACTCTTGTTCGTGGTTCAAACTAAGCCCCGTAAGCTTGACTGACGACTGACGACGTTCGATTTTGACAGGGCAATGCGTATGTACTCGGATTGATGACAGGGAAGATATATTGACGTAAAAGATTGCAGGGTCGAGCTTATTGTAGCTGTAAGCCGCTCATGGGTCGCCTATGACCAGCGCTGATGTCATCTGCCCGTCGTAGATTATTGCCCTCACCAAATGCCAGATTCAAGTTGTGCAAGCGTCGCGTACGTACGATGTGGTTCGCATCGGCCATCCGAACTGACGTCATTCGGTTAAAGTTGTCGGCTCGATTCTCAGTAACCTTCGTACGTCCGGTCTTGGGTCCCGTGAAGTTTGAAGCTTGATCCACTCATATCGGTCCTGCTCATCAGTCCTCGTGCTTGGGATGTGCTTCTTCGCTGGCGGCACTCGCTTCTCAGAACAGGGGTTTGGCCTCGGTACGCTTCTTCGTTGATCACAACATCGTGTGTTGAACCTTTTGGGTCAGGTTCTTCGCAGATCAACTCGTCCCTCTTGACGCTGAGCGTGATAGCAGTATTGTTACCTGCCGCTTTCGATTTATCGATCCGTTCGAACGACACTCCCGACAGCAACGAGAAACAGGATATCCTGAACGTCAGCCATGGAGTAAGTCGTTTGCTACGAACGCCCTGAAGCCTTTGCGCTGATCGATACAACCTCCAGGTCGCCGTCATCCTCTTGTTCAGTTCGTATCTCGTTCCGTCTCTACGATGACAAATGCTGATGTCAGGTTGCAGTCTATGGCGCTTATCTCGTCTTCCAGCTCTGGTCGCATGTCCACTTGTACAACGATGGCAATGACGACGTGCGCACCTCGACGAGATATGTGAATGTTCATCGGCCGCAATTCATGCACATGCCGCATAGGCGAAAAAACGACTCGTCTATCCCTCTGCAAGAGGCAGGTGCCGATGCAACAGATGTCGAGGCAGCGCCTGATCACGAGGAAGTGGAAGAAGAGACGCCGCAGATGAGCATGCTCCTGAGCATCGTTGTCCTGGCCATTGTCACTGTTGTGAGTGCTATGCTTGAAACGGTTGAACGCCAACGTCGCCTGAGCACACGGTATCGCAGCTCGTAGCAGTGACAGCGGAATGGCTGGTCGACTCCATCGACGGTTTGACGGAGGGTGGCGGTATCAGCAAGACCTTCGTGGGTCTTGTCTTGCTGCCGATTGTGGGTAATGCGGCAGGTGCGTACGCTGCACTTCGCCATCTTGCGTAGCTGATGGCCACTAGAACACGTCACGGCCGTGACTGTCGCCGTCAAGGACAAACTTACTCTGAGTATTGGCGTGGCTGTCGGCTCTAGTATCGTGAGTAAATAAATATCTTCAACAGGGACTTAGGCTGAACCTTGCGTGCCTTAGCAAATCGCTCTTTTCGTCATTCCGTAAGTCCCTCCTCGTGTGATAATTGGCCGTCGTCTTATGGAAATTTGACATAGGTTCATGATCGTGCTTGCATGGATTCTCGGTAAACCACTCTCGGTACGAACTCCATGCTCCAGCGATGCGAATCCGTTCACCCACGCTTGTTCGCGTAGCTTCTCTTTGACCCTTTCGAATCCATCGCCTTGTTCTTGGCCGGTGCGTATCTTCTTGCCCCGTGCTGCTCCGACAATCTGAGTAACCGGATCCGTAGTTATCACCGTCAACTACGTGGTTGCCGACGGTAAATCCAACTGGCTCGAAGGTATGACACTTGTTCTAGCGTTATGTGTCGCGATGCTGAACTCCGATCGACAGGTCTCATTCTCATGTGTAAGTTCGTACGAATCCGAGGTCGTTTCCCCGAGCTCACTTGTGCGTCCGCCTTTTGCCAGCGCTTTACCTCATATTGGCCGTCGCTTTCTGGTTTTACATCCGTGAGTATTCGCGCAGGCTTCTTTATCCACGTTGGCAGATCTGAGATTTACGGGTTTATCTTGCAGCTGCTACTGGGCTTACATGCTAGCGCGGGCTTCCTTCTTCCATGCGGGGTCGTCGTTCTTGTCTCGGTCGTCACACGTAACCATTATACCTATGAAAAGATCGCGTGTTTGCAGTCGGGCAACCTCAGGTCATCGCCGCATCGTCAGACCCCCCGCTTATTTTCTCTATCTCCACCGCAACGTACTTATCGGCGTATGGTATCTATAATGTGCACGATGAAATCGGTCCGAAGTCGTTCCTCGGCGATCCAGGAGCTCCGCCGTTCCGTCTGGCCTGGTGGCTGGGTCGCTTTCGAGTCCGATACAATCGCTTATGTTGGCCTTGCTCCGACGCGTGAAGGGCACCGAAGGTTTATGAGCGCGTTCGGACGGAGATACATCGCTCGAATCGGGTTAAATGACAGGAAGGCCCTTGCACGGAAGGTGCTTTGCCCGATCGCGCGCGTTTGAATAGATCTGATTTATGGATACACATTGGTTGGAAGTACACGATAAATACTCCAGATGTATGGTAGTATAGCCAAGAAAGTATCCCATCAAGCACATGCAGGGGTGGTGGTCCGTGGCAGCATGGGTGTTCATATGTATTCAAAATAGGCATTACCCTCGCGGACCGAAAACCGCGAGGGAGCTAATAATAGCGGGGACAATGCGCCAGTCTTGTTGCCCTTTCAAGTGCGGCTTGAAGACGGCTGTGGGACTCCTGCCAAGGATGACGCCGCCGCCTGTTGACCGGTATGATACGGCGGCGCGTGGTGGTGGTGGTAGCCTTGGTCGTACAGAGATCCATCCGGAACCATCGACATGCCGTGGTAGTACGGGTCGGCGCCGTTCGGTGGCGGCGGCAGATACGCGTGGTCTATGTGATGGGAGAGTGGGGGTGGGGACGGCGATGGATGGAGGCCGGGGTGGACGGACGTCATGCGAGAAGAAGACGCGACCGACGGAGGCCGGGCGAGCGCGACGTCCTCTTCCTTCACGGCCTGGGCTGGCGTTTTCTTCCGGCGCACGGGCGCGACGCCGTCCTTTTTGGCACGGGAGCGTGCGTAGCGCAATCCGCATCTGTTTTAGGGCAGATCCGAGATTAATCCATTGGGGGAAGATCGAACGAGGGAAGCGCGTTGAAGGGGGGGAGGGGATGACAGGAAGGGGGGCGGGGGGAAAACACGTACGCATTGCATAGGTCCTTCTTCCCGCTCGGCCCCTTGCGCCACTCTGGGCTCGAAGTCGCCTTGCAGCTGGAGCACCGTGGGATGCCGGCCGGAGGGTTGCCTCCTCCGCGCGAGGGACCTCCGAACTGATCCTTGGCCGAGCCGGGGCTCGTACGCCTGGGCACCGGCCGCGGAGGTGGTACTCCGTCTCCCTCGTTTGACGATCCGCCGTCGGTACCGCCGCCGTCTGCAGCGTACGCATAGTACGGGGATGGGGCGCGGGGATAGTCCGGTGACACGGCGGGCGCGTGGTCCATGTAACCGCTCGTGGGGGACCAGGAATGCGACGATAGGGACGAGTACGAGCCCGAGTGGCGGAGCGAATTTCCCGGTACGGACTGAGGCGGTATTCCTGGGCCTTGCCACACGTATTGGCCCGACGTGGGCGAATTCGAGACGCGGGCCCAGCTCTGGGGATGCGACTCGGGCGGGTAGGAGGCATATTGGGGCGATGGGACGGGCGGGAAGTGAGCGCTCACGGGGCTATAGTACTGCTGCGAACCCGACTGCAGGACGAGGTTTTGAGCGTCGTACGGGGTTTGCGACATCGCATGTGCGTCGCGGCTGGCTCTCCTGTGCACGTCGTTCACCTTGTGGCAGGCAAATATGATGCAGCCTGCGAGGTCGATTAGCGAGCCGGGTCCGACGAACGAATTTCTTTTTTTTGTCCAACCGGGACGCACCATAAGGGATAAATATGCTCTCCACTTCGCCGCCCTCGTGCGGACCTGGCGGTAAAGTGTGCAGCGCCTTGTATCGCCGCGTGCAACTCGTCTTCGCCTCCCGTCTGCTTGGCAGGCAGTTCCCGATCTGCACGTCCAGGGCCAACTTGGCCAGCTCGCGGGACGAGCGCAGGTGAGGCTGTTCCGGGGGCCAGCTGGCGAGCAGCGTGCGGTCCGGGTCGTTCCAGAGCACCTGGAATACCCTGCTCATGTTCGTCGGCGCCTGGATATGCATCGCCAGGCGCCGGTAGAGGTGCTCTGCTTGCTGCGGGGTGAAGGAGGGCGTGCCGCACCAGTTTGACCAGTCCGTCTTGATCCCTTCGTCGTTGTCGAGCGGCGAGAGGTCGACGATGGCGTGGACGAAGCAGAGCACGACGCCCTCCGCCGCCCAGTTGATGACGATGTCGACCGCGAGGTAGTCCGAGTCGACGGCGATCTTGTGGCCCTGCGTCTGCGCCCAGGCGTCGGGCGGGCCCCTGTAGCCCAGTCGGCGGCGGATGTAGGATAGCCGCGAGAACCGTACGCTATTGGGAAGCGCGAATAGAAGGGGCGGGGAATAAAGGCGTTAGGGTGTAGGTCTGGGAGCGAGTGTTTCAGATAGGGGCTAGATGACGCTTACCGAGTGACGCTGCCGTGCAAAGTGCGGCTGTCGAGCACGCGCCCGAGGTCGTGCTCGGCGGAAGACTGTTCTTCGGGGTGGACAAAGGCCAGGAGGGGTTTGCCGACGAGTTGGTCGGCTTGCTCGCCGAGGTGGCTCTCGAGGACGGGGTCGAGGTGGAGGAAGCGGAGGTCGGCGGTGAGGAGCGTCCAATCTGTTTCGCGGGCGCCGTCGAGATGATGTTAGTGAATGGGTCGAGATATCGGGATAGGGGCTCTTTCTCTCACAGCAGCGCGTCTGGCCGAGCTTGGGCTGGGCGGGCTCTTGGAGGCTGGTTGGGGGGAGAGGGAGGCCCATGGTCGGTTCTTGGTGGTGGTGAGCGGAAGAGGATGCGTCGACGGGATAATACATCACAGGGGCGTGTGCGTCACGTATGGCGGGCTGCGCGTGGGGGGACGAGATGATTTAAGCCTCGTTGAGAGGGTGCGACAATGGACATACCAAACGCCGGTGGATGCGGAGTGGTGGCTCCCCCGAATGACTAGAGTGTACAGTAGAGTAGGCTGTGGCTCGTAGCGCGTGGATAGGCGTAGTATGGGTGTGATGACAACAGCGGAGGGGCGATCGCGAGGAAGGAAGCGGCCAGAGTCGGATCGATGAGCGATGCGCTAGCGTTAGGTTATTAGGGAAAACATTCCACAGAAGGAGGTCAGATCGGCGGAGGGGTTCGATCGCAAAGGGTATTATCCCGGCGGGCTTGCACCATTTAGGTACCTGAGGTTTCGACTCCGCGGCGCCTTTGACGGCTCTTGCTGTCAAGGGTTATTCCTCATTGCCGCGCCGCAGAGACACCCAAGGGCGTGGTTTGCGTGCGGATGACCGCGAATCGTTAGGAGCCCCTCCTGCTGCCGAAACACCGCCATCCGCAATATCATCATTACCGCTGGCACGAATAACCCACCCGGATTGGTGCGTTTCAAGCGACCAATCACAGCGGGGCCGGTCGTCTGACAAAGAAGGAAATGCGTCGCCATCCCCTTTGTGCTCGGTACGAGAAGGAAAAAAAAATGCTACCTCAAACCTCTTTCGTCCTTGGGCGAGAGAGGACTGACCGAATTCGGAGGAGAATGGCGGGCGGGCTGACAATGGGCGTAAGGAGCGGTGCAGCTCTGGCCGGCTAGCGCAATCCAGATTGCGTGGATCTGTCATCCGTATTTCTGGAATCCCCCGGTACAGGTTCTTTTTTAATTTATCCGGGGGCTTCGGAGCTTGGTGGACAGCTCGACCGCTGGGGCGCATCGGCGCTCCGGACCTGTCCGAGTCGACAACCACAGGGTGTGCGTGTGTGATGAGCTAAGCCGGCCGGGGGAGTGACCGCATTGACAGCCCAACACACTCCGACGCGAGCTCCTGCTCATTTCGCGACGCAGAGGCGACGTCAACTTCGTCGGACTTTTCTGCTGCTCTTCTATCAGTTTGCGATCCACGGGTCTGCGCGATGCGCGGCGCCGTACGTACAGATGGTGGTTTCTCAGCAACAAGGCCTCGTAAAAGTCAGCTCAAATTCCACACAGTGGCATGCGCAACAGCGTGCGCATGACCCGACCGAGATTCAGGGGCCTGAGATGGAACTAGACGTGACCCACAGTGCCCTCCCCCCCGTGGGCGCGTCGCTATCGATAGCAGCAAAATTCAGGGAGGAGTGCATGTGCCACGGACGCCCAGTCCGAACAGAATCGCGTCGGAGTGGCATCCCGAGGGAGGATACACAGGCGATGCGGGTGGCGGTGAGCTTTTGTCTTTCCGAACTCCGGCGGCACGAGAAGCGTCCCGACGAACCCGAAGAAGATTGGCCCGGGCGCTTCGCCGAAAACGAAAATCATCAAGATTTGAGATGCCCTTGGCACGTGCCCGTCCATCGCTGCGCTCGCCGTCCTCCACCGTCCACGAGCATTCCTGTCATCCATGGCCATCGCGACTAACGAGAAGAACATCTGGGTCGCCGCCGGCGATGGCGACTTGGTCCGAGTGAGAGTGAGTCCCCGTTCCCCACGTACCCTCCAGGTGGCGGCGCCCGGACCGACCTCGGACTTGTCAGTACCTGGTGGAGGCCCAGTGTACGTTCTGTGCGACGACCGCGGACGTGTCCTCTTAGACTGCATTTTTTTTTTCGAAACGCGCTTTAGCGGTATCTCCTAATGCACCGGATGCTAACACCTACACACCCATGTATGTCCATATAGCTTCATATGCCCCGAATCCGCGCGTTGGCTGATGCCGCGTTACTCTATTCATCGCAGGCATGCCGCGGCCTCATACGGTCACACCGACGTTTTAGCTTACTTGATCTCACGAGGTCAGCACAACACATCTCTGACTCCGACCGGCTCTTGTCTTCCTGTCAACCTTTTGGCTTTGCTGTCCACACGTTTGACATGAAACGATGCCCAGGCGGCGACGTGAACGTCACGGATGAAGACGGGGACACGCCGATATACACCGTCGAGAATCTGGAGACCGCTCGCTTCCTCGTAGACCACGGAGCACACGTCTCGAGAACCAACCGAGAGGGCGTTTCGGTGCATTCTCTGTCCAATCTATCAGGGAAAGAAATCGCGCAGGCTCACGCTAGAAACGTTTTTTCTTCTTTCTCCCCCGTCCCATCGAGCAAAGCCGGCTGACCATGTGCGGGAGGACTTCCCGGAGATAGCCGATTACCTCGAGCGCGTCGTCGCGTCGGCGGGGGCGATTGGCTCGGACGACGGAGGGCCGCTGCCCGCGCCGCCGCCCGCTCCTCTTCCGTCGCAGCACTCGCAGAACGTCCGCTCGGAGGCGCTCACGTCGACGCTCATCGCGGAGGCGCAGGAGATTATGGCGAGGGCCGAGAGGGAGGGCACGGATCCGGACGCGGAGCTGAGGGAGGCCGTGTCCCGCACCGTCCTCCAGGGCATGGTGGATGGCTATCGGCTCGGGTCCGATGCGGGCGAGGATCGGCGTGCGCCCCCGGAGGAGGCGGAGGCTAAGCGGCCGCGCCCGGATCAACGAGGGTCGTAACTAGGGACGTATATCTGCGATGGGGTGCAGTGGATCTCGCATGTCGGTATGTAACTTTGAAGGGATTGGCGCTTTTCCGATCGCTTTGCATCCACGGATCGCACGTTGATCGCACGTTGGGATATCTTGCGTTGAGATCCGACCGGCAGACGGACTTTTTTTTGGAGGAATTGCTCGGACGTGGCGTCGACGATGGTAGTGTCATTATTTGACTGATACCTGATCCATATTTTCTTCTGCTCCCGAGGGCAAGGAGATGAGATGAGAGCCAGGATGCGCCACAAGCGTACCATCGGCTTCTTTGGCGCTAGAACGCGATCTTGATGTTGGTGCGGCCTCTGAGATCTTTGATCCCGTACTCAAGCGTATTGCCAACCGCACTCGGCGTGCGCCGAACCCTAACGTAGTCTCAGCCATCATCATGAGCGACTGGCATTCGTCCATCAACATCGCGACGCTCCTGACGCTCGAAGACGTTCAGAAACCGGAGCTGCTCGCCGACCCGGACCACGAGACGCCGCTGCTCAAGCTCGCCGCGGATACGCACGCGAAGGGGTACGATGCGCTCTGCGTGCCGCTCACGACGGAGCGGTGGAGGACGCGATGGCGCGAGATGTGCCTGATCGCGACGGGCGAGGACCGGGATACGGCCACGGTCGCGGCCGAGCGGAGGGCGGAGGAGTGGAGGGAGAAGCCGGCGTTTTTGTTGGACGAGGTCACCCTCACGCGCCTCGGTGAGTTTGCTTACGGGCCGTCCTGTGCAGGCTATCTTGGAGGTCGCTGATATGCGTTGTTGGGCGCAGACGAGGCTGCGAATGTCATCGCGGTCGTGTCGGACTGGCTCGAACTCGACTCGGAAGACGACTGGCTCAGGCATGATTTCGAGATCGTGAGCGCACTTTTTTTTCCCCTACGTTCCAATCTCCTCCGTTTTCCCAAGGGTTCGAGAGCTCGGACTCTGAGATAGAGACAAGCTGCGCCGCGTCGTGCTTCATTGGCCTCCGTTTCGTGAAGCCGTGGCGCTATTTTCTCACCAGCGATCGCCCTCTCTCAGTTACGCGGTCACTGACACGTTCTACGCACGCGACCCCCCTCTACAGGCCTTGCAACAAGAACTCGCGTACGCTACCTACCTGAATATCGGCACGGCGATCCTGCCCCCGCCCCGCAACCGCGCGCACGCCGCGTCGTACGGGCGCGCGATCGGCGCCGCGCTCGCCGCGAATCCGGCCCTGCACCTCTCCTTGCGCCTGCCGATCTACGACCCGGCCGTGTTCCAGGCGCAGGCGGGCAAGCCGCCCGCGTCCCCGGCGCCTGTATCGGTGCCCGGGAGCCCGTCTCCGGCGACCTTTTCGCCGTCGAGGGCGAGCGTGTCGAGCGTGGGGAGCTCGGTCGCGAGGGCGCCCGAGGGCGATTTGAACGGGAACTGGGAGATGTGGGACGTCATCCGGTCTGTGTGCGATTATCATCCGCATCTTTCGCTCAGTGAGTTGATCGTTTCGGGTTCGTGCCCCTCGTCATGCTATAGGCATTCTGTTCTCTTTGCTGGCCTTTTTGTTGTTTCTGTTGTTTCTGCTTCGTGCTTGTCGCTTGCGATCTCCATACCTCCTTTGTCGTGGCATCGTGCCTTTTTGCCTCTTGGTTCCAATTTCCCCAAAGCCTTGCGCCTTCCATGCGTCCTTATCCACGCGTCGACCTCCCTCTGACCTCCGTTTCTCCCGGCAGCCCTGGACCTGACGCCTCCCCTGCCCTCGGGGGCAGGCATCCTCGACCGATGGGCCGCCGAGCCGCTTCGGCACGTCTTCCTGCCCTCGTCCGCGTTCATCGCGAACGCCAAGGGCTACCCCGTCCTGCCCAAGGGCACGCAATCGTTCATCCGCGATATCATCAAGGCGAGCACCTCGCGTTCCCTCGTGCACCTCATTCTCGTTTTTTCTTTTTTTTGTTGACGTCGGACCCCGGCGCAGTTCAGACCCGCGATCGTGCTCGGCGGCGTCGCCGGCGCCGGCGCGCACGCCCGCGGCGGCGAGGGCGCGTACCTCCAGTACGTCCGCCATCTTGAGAAGACGAGTCCCGCGATCGTCGCGCAGAACACGCCCGGCACGGTTGAGCATTACGCGTATGGGTATCAGGACTACTTGCAGTCCCCGCTCCAGGCGAGTAGCACGTCGGCTACACGCGAAATCCGTATTAGCGATATTGACGCCGTCGGGGGTTAGCCTTTGATGGACAACTTGCAGAGCCTGACGTATCAGACGTTCGAGAAGGACCCGGTCAAGTACAGGAACTACGAAGAGGTCATCATCTTCATTCCATATCTGTCGCATCGCATCAAACGCAATAGCTGAGCGTTGAACCCTTTCATGCTAGGCCGTCTTCAAGGCTCTCGTGGACTGGCCGGCCGCTGAGCATGTGTGCGTTTGAAATCCCGAGCTCGGACCAACCCATAAAAATTACAACTTAATTTGCGCCACATTAGTACCATATGCGTCGCCGGCGCGGGGCGAGGCCCGCTTGTCGCCCGCTGTCTCACCGCCGCCGACAGAGCGAGGCGGAAAGTGGTGCTCTACGCGGTCGAGAAGAACCCGAACGCATATGTAACGTAGGCGACCGTTGACACCTCCCCCCTCTCCCCCTCCCCCTATCAATTTCCGCCCTTCCCCTTTGCGCGCTCTAGAGCGGATGCGCTGACCGTGGCAACAATAGGCTGCAGCACCGGAACGCCACGGAGTGGGAGGAGCGAGTGAAGCTGTTTTATGGCGATATGCGCGCGGTGGAGTTGCCGGCACAGGTCGATATATTGGTCAGTGAGCTGCTGGGCTCGTTTGGCGACAACGAGCTGTCGCCGGAGTGCTTGGACGGCGCGCAGAGGTTTTTGCAGCGTACGCCACCCGTTTCCTCGAACCACGCTCGGCTGAGAGCTCACGAAGGCGTCTTGGGAACCGACAGCGAATGGCATCTCTATCCCGGCGTCGTATACCTCGTGGCTCGCGCCGCTGTCGTCGTCGAAGCTGCACAACGAGGCACGAAGAGGTAACGACGTCAAGGCCGTCGAGACGACGTATGTCGTTATGTTCAAGGCCGTCAAGATCCTCAGCGGGGCCGGGCCGGGCGCGGGCAAGCGCTGCGGCGGCGCCATACAGGAGTGCTGGGAATTCGAGCATCCCCGGCGGGATGTTCCGCTGGACGCGCGAGGTCAGTCGTGCGCCCCCTCGTGCGCGGCAATCACAAGCGATGCTTGGGACACTCATGAGACCGGGCGTTCCTAGGGCTGCCGCTGACGAACAGCCACAACGTACGGTCGAAGACGCTCAACTTCCACATTCCGCACGCGGGCGTTTTGCACGGATTTGCGGGGTATTTCGAGGCCGTTTTGTACGGGGACATTGGGCTCAGTATTCATCCTGAGCGGATGGATGCTGTCTCGAAAGACATGTTGAGTTGGTTCCCGCTGTTCATCCCCATAAAGGTATCCGTCTGTCTAAACTGCTTGCTCATCACCTTGTGCTGACGATCTGTTGGTCAGGATCCACTGTATCTGCCCAGCAACTCCGAGTTGCAGGTCTCCATCTGGCGGCTCACGAACAAGCGGCAGGTGTGGTACGAATGGTACGCCGAGTCGTTCATGCCGGTGTCCTACACGACCGCGTCGGTGGAGAAGGACGCGTCGCCGGCGCTGCCCCGGATGCCTCTGCCGCGATTTCCGTCCATCGACTCGCGTGGGTCATTGTTAACGTCGTCGCAGTCGACACCGGTGGTCGCAGCAAGCCCGCTTGTCGACGCCGTGGACGTGTTCCCGTTCGATAGGCGGGCGGGGTCACCGTCGCCTCGGTTCGTGACGAGGGAAGAACTCGGAGCCGAGGACGGCGCGAGAGGCGAAGGCGTCGTGAAGATTGGTCAAACCGCCTTGCATAATCCGGGAGGCCGGAGTTGCTGGATCGGACTCATGTAAGGGACGGCGTACTCGTGTGGTACGTACCGCCCTCGCAGCCTACAAAAGACGAGCGGCGTGTTGTAAAAATGAATGCATGTTCGAATGTGCCGTGGATTTGACTGCGAGCGGGCTGGCGGCTGCTACCGGCGCGTCCGCCCGCGCAGCCTCGCAGGCGGGAGGCAGTGACGTTGGAGGTGTTGGCGGCCGGTTCGCTTCGGCGTGGGAAGTTTGATCTGAGAAAAAGGGTAGCGACGGCGCCTGCGCTGGCTCCCCATCACCATCCTTGTTCTCCTCCCCGCCGCCCACCGCGACGACAGCTCCCCGCCCGACTTTTTTCGTCCAAAAACACCTATTCTCTGCCCCGCCAAACTCACAGTCCAGTCTTTACCGTCATGAAGACCTTCTCCGCCGTCGTCGCCCTTGTCGCGCTCATCCCCTCCGTTCTCGGTCTCACTATCAACACCCCGTGAGTCGCGCGCGTCGCTCGACCTGAGGTGACGCAGAACTGACGAAAAACGCCAATTCGATAGGACGAGCGTTGTCCAGTGCCGTGCGTTGTGTTGTCGTGTCTTCGTCGTCGTGCGCTGACAACGCGGTCTTCCAGAGCCCATTCAGCTCACCTGGTCTGATGGAACCGCGCCCTACTTCCTGTCCCTCCTTCCTGGTATGTAGATCATAATGTTGCTGCCTGTTTCTGATGCCTGATGTGTGATGTTTAGGTGGCCAGCCCTCCGCGACGCCTCTCGAGTCGTTCGATTCGACGACTTCCACCTCGTTCACTTGGACCGTCAACCTCCCTTCGGGCACTAGCGTGTACGTGATTGATGGTCGCGGATGAAACATGTCCATTTAAATCGTATCTTGGCTTCTTCCCAGCACCGCCCAGATCAAGGATAGCACGGGTACCATCGCGTACTCCGACATTTTCACCATCCAGTCGGGCTCGGACTCTAGGTGCGATTTCTGCGTGCGCATGGTGTCGTGTGTGACGCTGAGCGGGCCGTTGACAGCTGCTTGACCTCGTCCGGTGTTGCGGGCGCGACCTCTGGCGGCTCGTCCGCCACGACCAGCGGCGCGGCTGCGACCACCACCGGCACCGGTTCGTCCGGCGCCTCAGCCACCGCCAAGACCTCGGGCTCGGCGGCTGCCACCGGCTCTGGCACCGCCAGCCCGTCGGCGTCGAGCACGAGCAGCAGCTCCAACGCCGCGCGCGGCAGCTCCATCAGCGCGTTCGGCATCGCCGGCGTCATGGGCCTCGTCGGCGCCGCGCTTTTCTGAAGCGGGTTGCCCCGTTGATGACCCTCCCGGTGCCCGGACTAGAGCGTTTGTTAGATCGAGGCACGGGGTCGCTATTTCATGATGAACCTTTCACGGACAACCTTTAGTTTTGTCAATATACTACACTCTTTTGGAACACTGAGAGCTGTGGGGCCTCTCTCGCTATGGGAGGTCGTGAGCGCGCAAGTAGTGTATACACTTTAGTCTCTTCTATTTCCTTTTTTCTTCTTCTCTATAGTGTGATGGTTGTGTACGAAGTACGATCCCCTGCGGGCGGTTATGAGTACGCACTATCCAATTGATCATGTTCTATGCCCTGTTTCTCTTTCCTGCTTCCGCCACTGTGACCGCCGCCATCATGACTTTTCTGCCGCTTCTGTGGCCATAACAAGCTTAAGCCGGTACCCGTGGATGCCAAAGTATTCTCGCTTGACTATCAGACCATCCCCGAAATGCCCTTGGTTGACGCTCGACGTTATCTGGACTGGGCTGTGGACTAGACATCTTTACTGGAGTGTATTTGCAAGGTGCTAAAAGTTCTACGCGGTAGGCCCAGATGTCCGCGGGGAGCCGCGCCAAAACATGCAGTGCATAGTCAAAGTTTCACTCCAATTTGCCCGCTGCAAATACACTCTGGTATAAGTACATTATACCTCTGGTCGCCGTCGCGGTGGTCGCTACTCAGCAGATGGCGCCGAAGTCGGGCCGAACGCGGTCAGAGATTCTGGAATGCTCCATCACGTGACCGACGCGTCTTAGCGTCGGCTCTGCCGGGGTTTTGCGGTTCTTCTGCTTTCAGAGCTGGCGCGCGACCGGCTTGGTGAGTCTCCATCTCGTCGTCTGTGACACGTAGAGCTCACTATTCCTCCTGCGTCGTCTGTCTGTCTCGCAGGACTCAACTGATACTCTCATCAATCACTCCAAGTGACGACCGGCGGGATCAGCTCTTCGCCAGCGCACGACGGGGTTTTCTTTTCCCACACGCAATGTCTCACATGTCAGCTGCTGCCGGCGAGCAAGACACGACGACTCGGGCCGTCGGTGACGTCGAGGTTTCGGAGGTGAAGGAGGAAGCAAATGACGGAGGTCGTGTCTCGGACGTGATGGATGTCTCGGGAGAGCCCGCGGAAGAAGCGAAGTCCGAACCCGTCGTTGTTACCGACGCGGAGGACGCTGGCGCGGAGGTTACAGTGGAGGTACGTGTACATGCGGGAGTATCTGTCGTGTTTTTCGTTGCGTTGACGGGTCGTTCGTGAACGCGTAGGTTGCCAATAAGGAGAAGGAGGACGTTGCGCCCACACTCGAACTGGTCGATCCTGCGCTCAGGCCGATCTTGGGCAAGAAGGGTTCGTTCGTGTATGACCGCGAGTCTAAGCAGTGGGTCGTGAAGAAGGTCTGGCAAATCAGTCCTCTGATGCATGCGTCCTCGCTGACCGCGCTATCGTTCAGGAACCTGCTTCTCCTACTTCTCCCATTGTGCCCAGCAACGACGATGTTCCTGCTACTGCGAGTACCGTGGACGCTTCTCCCCCCGAAGAAGCGACGATCGCTCAGCCGGAGCCGGAGGTGCACGCGACCGCCATCGCCGAGCCCGAGCCTGAAACGGCGGAGCTTGCTACAGAGCCCGAGCTCGCCCATGAAGAACCAAAAGTTGGAGATGCTGCGGCTGGGGAGCCGGCGGACGAGACCGCAGCGGAGCCCGAGCCAGCTCACGAAGAGGCACCCGCTGAACTCGCCACTGGTGAATCGCAAAGCGATGTTTCAGTGGAGCCACAGCCAGCTCACGAAGAGGCTGCTGAGGTCGGCGCGGTTGAGGAGCCGGCGAGCGAGGCCGTAACGGGGTCAGAACCGGTTCACGAAGAGTCTGCTGAGCCCTCTGCGGTTGAAGAGCCCGCGGGCGAGATCGTAACGGAGCCAGAATCTGTCCACGGAGAGGCTGCCGCCGAGCCCGCCGCAGTCGAGGAACCGGCGAGTGAGGCCGTGGCGGAGCCCCAGCCAGAAACATCGGCGACTATCCCGGAGGAGGCTGCTCCTCCTGAGGTTCCCGCGCCTGCCATCGAGGAGCCGTCTGCCCACGAAGAGGTCTTTGCCGACGAAACATCCACGCCCGCCGCTATCGAGGAGATCACGGTCGAGGGCGCAACAGAGTCCGAGCCGGAGGCTGAAGCACCTGTCGCGGACGCTCCAGCCGTGGAAGCGGCAGACGCGACTGTTGAAGATGTCCAACTTGAGAAGAGTGCGGCGTGGGAAGCACAGCTGCTCGAGGCGGCGCAGCCGGCGACGGAGCCCGTCGTCGAGGTCGAGGACCAGGACGAAGTTCCTGCTGCCGTAGACCCCGTTGCCGCTGAAGAATCTGCTCCCGTTGCTACTCCTGACCAGCCGATCGAGCCCGTCGCTGAAGAGCCTGCACTTGAGACGCCTGAGGCTGCGAGCGTTGTCGAGGAGAAGACCGCCGTTGAGGAAGACGTCGTAACTCAAACCGAGCCCGAGCCCGAGCCGGCGACCGCTGAAATCGAGGAGGTGCCTGCTGCTGTTTCTGAACCGGATCACCCTGTAGAGCCGGTCGTGGACGAAACTCCTGCCGCCAGCGAGGAGCCCGCGGAGTCCGCCGCTGAAGAGTCCTCTACGCCCAACGTCGAGACCCCCACTTTGGCGCCCAAGGTCGCCTCCGGTGCAGAGCCCGATCAGTCTGTCGACCTCGTCGCAGAGGAACCTGCACTCGACTTAGCTGCGGATACCGAGGACGAGCCTGCGGATGACGTAGCGTCCATTGCTGTTACCATCGACTCTGAGGACGTCGCCGTCGACGACATCACGGACGCGGCCGTCGACGACATCACGGACGCGACCCCCGTCGTCTCCGAGACCGCGAGCGTTGCTTCGGATGCTGCCAGCGAGGTGGAAACGGATGTGCCGGAGGGCGCGGACGACGTCGCGTCCACTGCGGTCACAATCGATTCGGAGGACGTCACTGTCGACGATATTACCGAGGGAACAGTGAGCGAAGCGGAGACGGACGTGCCCTCCAGCGCGGACGAGGAGACCAGCGGGGAAGCGACCGACGTGCCCTCCGCTTTGGAAGACACTGCCAGCGAAGTCACCATCCCTCCGCCCTCCGACGATGCAGCCATGGAACCAGAGGCCGAAAGCGCGAACGAAGCGGTTGTCGAAGAGTCCGTACTCGGACCGGCCGTTGAGGCGGAGAATGCGAACGAGGTGGCTGTTGAAACGACCGTGGCCGAACCAGCTGCCGAAGCGGAAAGTACCGCTGATGCGGGCGCCGTACCGACTGAAGAGCCGGCCAGCCTAGAGGTGGCGGAGGAGAGCACGAACGAAGGTGCAGTGTCGCCCTCCGTTCTGCTGGACGGTCAACCCGTCGAAGCACCGGAGACTGCGAACGAGGCCGTATTCGAGCATGAACCTACAGTCGAGGCGGACCGGGCGCGCTCGCCGTCGTTGTTGCTGGAGGGTGAGCCAATCGAGGCGCCTGGAGGCGACGAAGAGGAGGTTGCTGCCGGGCCCGTGGAGGAGACCGAGCGCCCAAAGTCGCGCAGTAGCTTCGTGCAGTCGTACTCGGTCACGTCACAGGGTCCTGGGGAGGCGGTTGAAGAAGCGCAGGCGGAGGGCACCGTCGAGGTGCCGTTGACGCTCGATACGCACGTGGACGACGCCGTTGCGACCGCACCGCCGCCGACGTTGCGGAAGAGCTCGTCGCGGGCTTCGATGTCGTATACGGTGACTACCCAAGGTCCCGGAGGTGCTCAGAAAGAGGAGTCGGAAGAAGTCGCAGAGCCAGAGCCCGAGGTGAAGGAGGTTGAGAAGTCGCGCTCGTTGAGCCCCGAGCCCGGTTTGAAGAGGACGCCTTCGCAGGCGTCGCTGTCGTACTCGGTAACGCACCAGGCGGGGTCGCCTCGCACGGAGCCCCAGGAGCCCGTGGAGAACGTCGTTCCAGCAGAGGAAGAGGTTGCGCCTGTCGCCGCGGTTGAGACTATACCGGCCGAAGAAGTGCCAGCCGCGACTGAAGATGTTCCGGAGACGCAACAAGCCGCGAACGAGGTGGCCGTCGAGGGGCCGGTTCCGGATGAGGCAGCACCCGTTGCTGAAGAGCCGAAACAAGAGGAGACTGTCCCAGAGAGCGCGAACGAGGCTGTGCTTCCGCCTTCCGTCGCTGTCGAAGGGGAGTCTGTGGACCTGGAGGGCAGTGCGAACGACGCCGCGACGGTGGCGGGCACCGAGCCGGAGGCGCTCACGGCGCCCAAGCCGATTCGCAGGAGCTCGTCGCAGGCGTCGCTGTCGTACACCGTCACGAGGCAAGGGCCAGGCGAGCCTGTGCAAACTGAGACCCAGATCGTGGATGAACCGGAGGCTGTGGGGGAGCCGTCCGCTCCTGCGCCTGCGGCGCTCGATGCGCCGGCACTGAAGAGAACCTCGTCGCAAGCGTCGCTGTCTTACTCCGTGACGCGTCAGGTGCCCGGCCAGCCTGCTGAGGAACCTACCGCAGAGGAGGCTGAGGTGGAGAAGGAGACTGTTGCTGTTGTGCCTGCGCAGACTCTCGAGGCTGAGAAGCCAACGTTGAAGAAGAGCGCGTCGCAGGCGTCTTTGTCTTATTCTGTGACGCGGCAGGTTCCTGGGCAAGCTGCCGAGGAGGAAGCCACCGTCGAACAGGAGGAACCGGAGAAGGCAACTGAGCCTGAGCCCTTGCAGCTCCAGGCGCCGTCGCTGAAGAAGACGCCGTCCCAGGCTTCTCTCTCTTACTCCGTTACCCATCAAATGCCTGGTCAGACCACGGACCCCGAGCCGGAGGCGGAGGTAGTCGATGTCGAGCAAGCGGAGGAAGAGAAGCAACAGCTGGATGCGCCAACGCTCAAGAAGTCGCCGTCGCAGGCGTCGTTGTCGTACTCTGTCACGAGGCAGGTGCCCGGGCAACCTGCGGAAGAGCCTGTGGAAGCGCCGCAAGCGAAGATTGAGCCACAGGCAGAGCACCTGCAGGCGCCAACGCTCAAGAAGTCGCCCTCGCAGGCATCGTTGTCGTACTCTGTTACGAGGCAAGAACCGGGTAAACCGGTCGAGGAGCTTGCGGACGAACCAACCGTAGAATCTGCGCCAGCTGCTCCTGCTGTTGAGGTCAAGACGCTCGAGCCGCCAGTGCTGAAGAAGTCCCCCTCGCAAGCGTCGCTGTCGTACTCCGTCACGCGACAGGTGCCCGGTCAGACTGCCGAAGAGGCGAAGGACGACGAGGTAGTGGACTCGGCGGTGGACGTCAAGGCTTCGCCGTTGGTCGTGCCGCCGGCTGCTGGCGCCGACGTCGAGAGGCCGCGATCACCTTACGCGGCGTCGTACTCCGTCTTCACGCAGGGACCTGCAAACGGCAAAACGGAACTTGCAGCGCCAGCGGAGGCAGACAAGCCGGCGTTCCCTTCGAGTGCTGAGGAAAGGTAGGGATTCGTTATGGTCTATTTGCCGATATTCAATCCTAACGCTGCGCGTGTTTTCAGTGCGTCTGTGCCTACGAGCCCGGCCGTGGACAGTGCGGATACCAAGCGCACACGCCGTGTCTCGCACGCGTCAACGGTGTCGTCACGGTTCTTCCCCGGGGGTTGGTTCTCGAGTTCGCCGAAGACGGCCGAGATCTTGGAGGAGGCGCCTGCGCTCGTCGCTAGCGAGAGCGAGGTGGTACATGAACCAACGACTCCTGCTGCTGGTGGAGAGAAGAAGAAGGAGAAAGGGTGGGGATGCGTGGTGATGTGAGGCCTCTTTTGGGGGAATGAACGAACGTTGGTGGGTGGGTGCCCACGCGGTAACGGCGAGGCGTTGGGTGAAGAGAGACGTGCTTTATTCTTTACGCTATTTCTTCGCATTCGGTCTTGGGCTTGCTTCGTTTCATGTTTATGACGACTTGATTACGACCACGATAGTTTCCTGGAATGGAGTAATTTTCGCGCAACTATTGGTCGCGCGACCTGAGCGCGACGAGCATGTTTTTTGGGTGGTTGCCGCGCCACTGACGGAGCCTTCTCAGGGCGAGAGCCATTTGCCGGCCACCGAACCTTGTGCGTGCACTCTCTGCAGGTTGCTGCTATATCGTCTAGCCGATGACTTACTAGCTCGTCCACCCCACTCTCATTGACATCCTTACGTGCCCTCATATCTTGGTTTCTACCCCCTTGGGCTGTGCGCAATGTCTGCGCGGCAGGCGAAGCTCATCTTCGCCCTGGCGCTTGGCGTACAGGGCGTTCTGTGGTCTCAATCTCGCTATGGCACTTCGCTGAAGCCCCGACCAGGGTTTGCAACCTCTCTCCTGGACTCGGCTGGTCTCACCAGACGTGGGTTGTACGCGCCGGGCAATGACACTATCACGATGTTAACAGAAGGAGAGCCCAAGGTAAGCACAGGTTCGAACTTCTTTGCTCGTATGACATATTGATTGAGTCTTTGGCGCTCGCCTCCGTCCCATTCATTGATCGACAAACGCATATGTGTATGCACGAATACACAGTGCAAGCCGCTCTCCTTCCCCATCTCAAACCAATGTGCGCACGTCCGGGACGTCTGCCCCACATCCGAGACCTTCCTCCACATCCCCTACATCCAACGCTACTTCTGCACCCCGGAATCATGGCGCCCCACACTCTTCGTCGGACTCGTTCTCTGGCTCTCCTTCCTCTTCTCCACGCTCGGCATCTCCGCCGCCGACTTCTTCTGTCCAAACCTCGCAACGATCGCGCAGGTTCTGGGGCTCGACGAAAACGTGGCGGGCGTTACGTTCCTCGCCTTCGGGAACGGGAGCCCGGACGTGTTCGCGACGTTTTCATCTATGCGGGCCGATAGCGCGGGGTTGGCGATCGGGGAGCTGCTCGGCGCGGCGTCGTTCATCGTGAGCGTCGTTGTCGGTTCAATGTGCATCATCAAGCCATTCCGCGCGGACCCGTGGCCGTTCCTGAGAGACGTCGGGTTCTTCACCCTCGCGGTCTCGCTCTTGCTCGGCACGTTGTGGGACGGCAAAATCGAGATGTGGGAGGCGGGCGGGCTCGTCGTCGTATATGCGGTGTATGTAACCGTAGTTGTGGTTGGGACGTGGTGGATGAAGAGGAGGGCGTTGAGGAGATCGAGAGAAGCGTTGGTCAGAAGCGAGTACGCGGAGGAGGAAATACCGCAGATCGCATTTCATGACGAGGAATACGGGTACCGAGACGAACGTGAGTATATGCACGCGGTAGCATCGAGATATGCGCTGACTGGCAATCCGTGTTTATTAGCTCTGGCCCCATCGAACTCGCTCGTCATCCCGTCATCGCCGTCAGGAAGGCTCCGCGCAGCCTCGCAGCCGTCACCACCGAGCCTGTCGATCCGCCCCGACCTCCCGCCGCGCCCTCATTCGCGCGAGTCTTCGCACGCAGAGACGCCGCGACTGGGGCAAATGACGTCCTTCTCGCTCGTCGGCGCGCTCGAGTTCAGGCACCTCGTCAGCTCACTTCAGCCGCACGCATCCGCGTCTTCGCTGTCCTCGCTGTTCGACAGCCCGGTGACACCGTACGCGGGCGGACACTACCACACCCGCACGCGGAGCCACTCGCGCACGCCGGGTCATCCGGGGCGGACGGACTCTGAGCGGGATCCGTGGGATGCGGCGCTGGCCGAGTCGACGGGCAGCGTAAGGCTGCAGCCGCGCCCGTCGTCCCCGAACGTGGCGTCGCATGGCGGTACGCCGAACGGGCACGGGAGCTTGCTTCTGCCGATACACGACAGCGAACAGGAGTTGACGCCGGTGAGCGCATCGCCGCCGGCGATGAGCCCCACGTCGACGACGGCCGCGACGGATCCGGAGGCGCGCAAGGGCGCGTCGGCGTCGAAGAGGCAGCGGGCAAGACGAGCGCTTAGAAGCGCATGCCACGTGTTATTCCCGACCTTGCTCGAGTTCCGGTCGAAGTCGGCGCTGGGGAAGTTCATGGCGCTGTTCGCGGCGCCGGCGGTGCTGCTGCTTACGCTCACGCTGCCGGTGGTGGTGTCGCCACATGTGCACCAGCATGGGTCATTCAAGTCGTCACCAGGGGCGGATGGACATCTACTCGATTTTGAGGAGGAGGGGTACGAGCGGGCGTTGGTGGCGGAGGAGGAAGTCCAGGAGGAGATGCATGGACTCGCGTTCAATAAGTGGTTGATGGCGGCGCAGTGCGTGTGCGGGCCTCTTTTCGTGGTCAGCGTGTTGTTTGGTGAGTGTGTTGCGTTTCGGTGGTCGCGGATCTGAATGCTGATGTGTCTGTGTAGATGGCGCGACACACGAGGGATACCTGCTATTCGCGGTCGGTGCGGCGGGGTTGGCACTGGCGGCGGTCGTGGCAGTGCTTGCAGGTAAAAACGAGCACCCGACAGTGAGGATGGTGAGGTGTGCGATGGGATTCATGGTCGCTGTGGTGTGGATCATGGCGATCGCGGACGAAGTCGTCAGCGTCTTGCAGGTGCGCAGCGCTCTTTAACTTAAAACGGTTCCGGCTGGCTGATGCGGGTATCGGCAGACGTTCGGGTTCATATTTGGACTGTCGAATGCAATCATCGGGTTGACGATATTTGCCATGGGCAACTCGGTCGCGGATCTCGTTGCGAATACCAGCGTCGCCGTAAGCCTTCCTACTTTTCTCCACTTCTCGACGCAACGAGGTTCACACTGTACTGCTTCAGGCTTTCGCACCCATTATGGGCTTCTCGGCCTGCTTCGGTGGGCCGATGCTCAACATTCTCCTCGGAATCGGCATTTCAGGCTCGTACATGATCGCCCAGACGGAGCGACCGTACGAGCTTGACTTCTCCGACACGCTGATCAGCTCCGCGCTCGGCTTGCTCGCGCTGCTCGTGATGACGGCGGTTGTCGTGCCCCTGAACGGGTACGAGCTCACGAGGAGATGGGGAGTGGTGTTGATTGCGACGTACTCTGTGATCATGGCGATAAATATCTGGGTCGAGTTGCGATGGTAGCAGCGGGGTCTTGCTACGAAGATGCATGGACTGTTGTCGTATATTAGTATGTAAATTATACGATGCTCCGAGAACATGTAAACTTTCCAGTGCGCAACCCAGAAAGAGCTAGCACCCGAGCGAATGCTTTGTTCAGCGTGTTCATTAGTACTACTCTGGAAATCAACTTCAAGCAATCAGAATGACTTCAACACGATTGAGAAGGAATTCATTTGGCATGATGCCCACCACACACACAGAACACTACACTATATGAAGCACTAAGGCACAGCAGTCGTGTCCGGACTAATTAGCTAGTGCGGAGAAGGACACGGATATAATGACCATCAGAGGCAGCGCCAGTGTCGTTATGAAGTTGATATATGACCTACCCAGTTGCCCCTAGTCGCCGGTATGATACCTCAGTGAAGAATGAATAGACTAAGCGGATGCAGGTTCTCCTGCCGGACAACCGAAGCCATCTCCGGCGACCCATTCCCTGTTTCCGTTGGCGACGGGGGGACATGCATCTCCCGAGCGTGACGCGTTAACGGATGGAATACTTCCCGCATCAGCCGTTTTCAGAATACCCGCGATAGGTAAGGTAGGGCTCATTCATACATAGCTACTAGTGACATTGCAGTGACACTCACGTGAATATGTGATACTCAATTCAGTCGATGCCCCGAGCGTGACCAAATCAGGGACATCTAACCTCTATGCCGTCTTGTTGTTGCGTGTTTCCCAGGGTCAGAGAACAGAGAACTTAAATTGGCATATACAATTAAGCTAGAGCCGCGTGGTACTAGACTGATTAGATTGTCTGTAAGTTGGTGAGAAACGGGCGAATGCCCCCGAAGAGGGCGTTCCGGTCCGGGAATCTGTGCGGGGTGTGTGAGCCGCGATGGGCGGGCAGGGTTAAAACATGAGGAGTGGAGGGTGGGATGCAACCCTGAAAGTGAACCTCGCTTAGTTCCCGGACCCCAGAAATGAGGGGACTACAAATGGACGGCAGTCTGTCAGGTTCTAGCACCTTTACATACATGCTCCTCCGGCGCTATCCTCTTTTTCGCTTGAGAGCGCTCTTTCTCCCCGATGTGACGCTGGAGCTCTGGTCCGCGGCGGTGTCTTCGCCGCGGCTCACAATTCTATAAGTGTCTCGAGGGTGACGTCCCCGCTCCTTCTCCTTCGCTCTTTTTTCTATGTCCTCCCACTCCCAAGTTGCTCGTTCCTCCCCGGTCAACTGGCCCCTCCCTCCTGGGGGCCTCATCATCCCTCCTGGTGAAGCGTTCTACGCTGAG